CTGCTGCTGAAACAAACAATCAATCTCTTTGGTTTTCTCCGCATTGTTAATCTCATCTTCTCCGCTGCTGCTTCTGTTGCTGCTGCTGCTGCTGCTGCTGCTGCTTCTGCTGCTGCTGCTGCTGCAGATCCTTCAGCTTCAGGGGGTATCTCTCGCTAGCCTGAGGCGCGCCGTATTCAACTGCCTGCGAGACCTTCGCGCAGACAAAGAGGGGGCCTCCTCCTCAGGGTCCTCTAGCTCCTGCGGTGCCCCTGGGGCCCCCTCTGGCGGGGGCTCCTCTAGTGGGGGCCCCTCTGGCGGGGGCCCCTCCAGTGGGGGCCCCTCCAGTGGGGCCCCCTCAAGTGGGGGCCCCTCTGGCGGGGGCCCCTCGAGTGGGGGCCCCTCGAGTGGGGGCCCCTCTGGTGGGGGCCCCTCGAGTGGGGGCCCCTCTGGTGGGGGCCCCCCTGGGGCTTCTGGTTCATCTGTGTGTGTTGGTAGTTGTGGGGGTGTTACGAGTGTTAGTTTTTCTCGTCACGTGCTGAATATAATGGAGGCAGCTGAGGTGGATGACTTGACGCCTTACGCGGAGATATTTTCGGTTTGTTTATTGTCGGGTTTGCCCCCCCGCAGTTTATCTATAGAGGTGAGGCAGCTGATGAGAGAAGGCCTGGCGGCGCTAGAGACAGAAGGATACTGCGTGCATGCACGCCGCGTATTCGCTGAATATAGACGCCTCCTCGCTACACTCAAACGCAGAGACCTCTTGCTGGCTCCTCTGTGGGGCCAGCACAAACCCAGCAGCAGCAGCAGCAGCAACAGCAGCAGCAGCAGTACTACTAGCAACGATACCAGCTGCAACAGTAACAGCTGCACCAGCAGCACCACCTGCTCTAGCAGCAGCAGCAGCAGCAGCAGCAGCAGCAGCAGCGACAGCAGCAGCAGGAATGGCTACAACTCCCCTGCTGCTGAGCTGCATGCAGCAGCAGGCCCTGAAGACGCGAGGCTAGCGGACTTGTGGGTGGAGGCGTATGCGAACGACCCAGCTAGAGATAGGGGCCCCTTCTGGGTCCCCCGCAGCAGCAGCAGCAGCAACAGCAGCAGCAGCAACAGCAGCAGCAGCAGCAGCAGCAGCGCCTCATGCTGCAAAGTCGGCAGACCCCATGAGTACCTGATGCACTGCAAGGGAGTCATCCTCACTCAGCTGCGCTCACTCCGCCGCCTGGCGCCGATTTGGGCGTGTACGTTAACACCTCCTGCTGCTGCTGCTGCTGCTGCTGCTGCTGCTGCTGCTGCTGCTGCTGCTGCTGCTGCTGCTGC